ATATATATACTAATTTAACTAAGGGCCTGTGAGATGGCTCAATGGGTAAAAGGCACTTGCTGCCTAAGCCTAATGACCCAAGTTTGATTCAGGGACCACATGGTGGAAGGAGAGAGCTTACTCCCACAATTCCTCTAACTACATACACTCTGTGGTACTGAGAGCAAGAGTGAGAGTGAGAGAAAGAGAGAAAAATAAATGTAATAAAAAATTAAAATATGGGGCTGGAGAGATGGCTCAGTGGTTAAGAACACTGGCTGTTCTTGCAGAAGACCTGGGTTTGAATCCCAGCACCCACACGGCAGCTAACAACTGTCCGTAACTCCAGTTCCAGGGGACGCGACAGTTTCTTCCGTCCTCCATGGGCACTGCATGACACGGGTGCACTTACCTACATGCAGGCATAACACTCATACCCACAAAATAAAAATAATAAATGAAATATTTGACAAAAAAATTAAAATATGGGACTGGAGAGATGGGTGAGCAGTTAAAAGCACTGGCTGCTCTCGAAGAGGACCTGGGTTTGATTCCCAGCACCCACATGGTGGCTAACAACTGTCCTTAACTCCAGTTCCAGCGGAATTCAGTGCCTTCTTCTGACCTCCACCAGCATTGCAGGACATAGGTACACTTACACACATGCAGGCAATATACTCATACACATAAAAAATTAAAATAGAATGTATTTTGATTCCTAAGATACTTCTACCTCTTAAATTTTGCATCTAATGCAAAATATTTTATTTGCTCTCTGGTCCAGAGCTTTTAGCATAGAATTTCACAGGTTAATTTAAAACTCCTGGGAATATTGCATGCAAATTTTGCTCTTTTCCTTGTAAGAATCATCAGATCATCATTTATAGGTCCAGAGTCAGCAGTTCTTAAGAAATTAAGGGACTCTATCTGAATGGTTATATCCTTATCACAGGCATATTGAAAATAAATTGTGAATTATTATTTTATAAATAAGGAATCTCCAAAGTACGTAATTTGTCTGACAACATAATAAAATTCACTAATTAAAAAAATTTATGTATATGAGTGTTTTTCTTGCATGTATGTAAGTTAACCCCTGTCGTACAATGCCACTGGAGGTCAGAATACGGCATCAGATCCTCTGGAACTTGAGTTACCCATAGTTGGGATAGTTGTTAGCCACCCATGTGTGTGCTGGGAACCGAACCCAGGTCCTCTGCAAGAGCAGCTAGTGCGCTTAACCTGATCACATAATTTTTAAAGTTGTTTTTATTATCATATGTTAATTATGCATAATGGGTTTCATTCTGACATTTTCATACCTGCATATCACGTATTTTGATCCCACCCACCCCTGGTTGTCCTCTCTTGTTCCCCCGCCCCCACTCCTGCTGAGCCCCTTCCTTTTCTCAACTAATTCCCTTCTACTTTCATGAAAGACACAATTATTAAATGTAGGATTTTTGCCACTGTGGAAGAGAACAGAAGAAAGGTTAGCTTTGCTGTGTAACTGACATTTTAAACATCTGCTGTATTTCAACACCTTCTTCCCAATTTTGTTTTTTTTCTTTTTTAATGAAATAACTTGTGATAGCTAATCTTCACTGTCAACTTGACTGTACTTAGGAGACTTAGGCACCCCGCTGGGTATGCCTAAGGGTGATTCTGGAGGTGGGAAAGGCCCAGTCTGAATGTGGGGGGGAGCCATTTTGTGGGTCAAGGGTTCTGAGGGACTATAAGGGGAGAAAGAGAAAGGCAGCTACATGGAGACACCCCCCACTTTCTCTGCCTCCTGACTTCTGTGTTATGAACAGCCCTACTCTACCATGTCCTCCCTACTGTGATGGACTGGACTCTCCAAAACTGTGAGCTACAAAAAGTGCTCTCTCCCTTAGGTTGTTCTGCCAGACACTGTTTTTCAGAAGGAAAACAGTTATGGTGTTTGAATGTAGCTGCTTTAGGAGCAAGAAGTACAAGACTCAGCTAGTTAAAACGAGACCTAGCACACAACACAGGCTTTCTCTCTCTCTCATATATATATACATATATATACGCACACACACACACACACACACACACACACATTAGAATAAAAACTGAAATGAGTTACTAGATGTAAAATGTCTGTATGTGTGTGTTATATGATTTTTTTTCTATTACTAGATTCAGAACATGGGAAATTTATCATGAACACAAGAGTAAATGAGAGAGACAGAGATCAAGAAAGAGAGGTTGAGAGATTGTCTTATAACACTACATTATTGTATAACCAGAGCAGTTGTGTCTAACCAGCAGTCAGTTCCTGGGCCTCTTGACCATCATCTTACCCCCTGGCAGGTTCAAGAGGGTTGACGATGACAGGCTAACATGGCCCTGTCAATATAATTAATTTTTCTGAGACAGTCTGTAGCTTACGCTGGCCTCAAAAATGTAGCAGAGGATAACCTTGAACTCCTGATCTTCCTGCGACCATCTCCCAAGGACTAGGATTACAGGCATGTACCACCATACCTGGCTATAGTTGTGTTTTAAAAATGGTAGGACTTTTTACTTTTTCTACTTAATTAAAAAAGTATAGGGGTGCACAGTTTTTCTTTTGCTTCAGCCTCTCAAGTGGCCTGGCTCAGGCCAGTGCGGAGCTGACAGAAATGACTGCTGGTGTGGATGTCTGGGATAAGCAAAAAAGAGGAAAAGGAGGTTCCCAGGCTGGACCTTGTGTGATCGGACAAATGTTGACATCAGTAACTTGATGGGCAAAAACCTTGGGAGAAAAGAGGCTTGGTGCACAGAAATAATTAGTTCAGGGCACCATGAGTTTGAGACACTGGTAACATGCCCAAATAAGCTGTTGGATAACCAAGTCTTTTGGGTTAAGGAATCTTGTTTCTGTCAATATGGCTGTCTATTTTCCTCTCCGTGGGCCAGCTTACTGGAGTAAGCACTTTAGATTTTACTTCTACGTAACTTTGTCTTCATGATGTGTGTGTGTGTGTGTGTGTGTGTGTGTGTGTGTTTAAACCAGGTCTCATGTAGCCCAGGCTGGCCTTGAACTCCTCCTGTTTTAAAAAAACAAAAAAAACCTATAAAGAACCTCTAAAACGTCATCTTTGTTTTCAATATAAGATGACTATTCTTTCTAAAAATTTTTATTTTTACTTGTGTGTATGGGTGTATAGCTTGCATCTATGTAAGTGCACCTGTGTAATGCAATGCCCATGGAGGTCAGAAGAAAGTGTTGAATTCCCAAGGAACTGGAGTTACAGATGGTTGTTAGCTGCCATATGGGTGCTGGGAATCCAACCCAGGTCCTCTGCAGTCAGGGCTTCTAACTGCTGAGCCATCTCTCCAGTCCCTAAATGACTATTATTAACTTTTTTCTGTGTCAAGGACCCACTTTGAAAGACATCTGTTTAAAACCCACAGGTCAAAGGAAAAGAGGATAAATGGCCCCAATAGCAAACATTGGACAGTGTGTTTAAGTAAATCTATAATGGGGTCACCCTGTGTAGATTACCTGGCTTTTCTGAAATATAATAAATGTTTTACAGTTTTTGTGAGAGTGACTGAGAAAATACAAGTGCGTACATAAAGGAACTACTTGAATCATGTTGGGCACATTTCAAAACATACCAGATGTGAGGCCTCTCAGGAGTCTCAACAAGGCCCTCACATGTAACAAGCCAGGCTACCAAGGAGGTAAGTGGAAGCTGAACACAAGTGCAGTTTTGGCTTTGTTCTTGAAGTATCAGAGTCGGGAGGGTAGTCTGTTTGCTGGGGACAGAGAGTTGGGGACCGAAAGGAGCACAGAGGCCACAAGTCCATGGAAAACCTTAAAACAGGTACAAGAGGATGAGGCTTTCAGGCTGGTATGGGAAGGCAGCTTTGTCCCTATGTGAGTTCCCTCCAGGGAGGGAGGAAGGGGCATCCCCAGCCACCGAATATTCCACTACTCTGTAAGGCCCCCCCCCCGCCCCCCCCGGGAGGGTGTTGTCTGAGCCTTCCAACAGGAGACATTTACATCTGGCCACTGAAGTTGCTGGAAGCAGACTCATCTGGTCATAAAGAAAATCACTCCCACAGAGGGACTAACTTTGGAGATGCCTGAGAGGTTTCACAGTCCCCTCGGTAGTGTCAAGTGGCAGCACCCTGGGTTCCAGACTTCTTGAGTGAACACCCCCCCCCCCACAAAAAAACTTGTCAACAGCTTCAGCACATCACCTGGGTGTGCGTGCGTGTGTGGATGCAGAAACCCCTTTCTTCCTTAAAATGGGACGCAGGTCAGAGTACTCAATATGATGATCAGGAAGGGCCCTTGTTCACCTTCAGTCTCACTTTCCTGGGGGGGGCAATAAAGCAGGTGTCTTCTGTCCTTCTAGGGACCCCTAAGCCATGTGATGGTACCAGGGGCAGGAACCTCGACAACAGGTCTGTAGATGAACTAGACTCGGCCATATCCATCTCCACAGCTGCCCGAGTCTCCCCCAGCGGCTGGCATCCTCTGCAGGGGCGGCGGGGTCGCGGGGGGTGCGGGGGTCAGGTGCTGCAGGCCGAGGCTGGCAGGAGGCGCTGCGGAGCCGGGCCGCCAGCTCTCTGCTGCCCCCCGCGGAGGCCCCCTCCTGGCTCCTCGGGAATGCTGGGAATGTGAGTCAGGGCCTCGCCAGC